CCCCAGGAGAGTTTGTCGAAGACGTACCGAGGCTTTGCCGAGAGATTTACGATTAAAAGAATTTTCTTTGCACAGAAAATTTTCAGAAAAATATATTTCACTGCATCCTTAATTTATATCCTTAATTTTGATGTTAAAAATCTATCGGTGTTGCTAATAAAGGATATTATGCATTGAGAAATTGAATTAAATCGCGTAAAATGAATACATATATTCTTCTTATCACGAAAGAATAGCAAATGCACAGGAAAGAATCGAATTATTTTTGCCAGTACTATAATAATAATATTACACTAATATTTACGTTAATAACGTAATCATTCTAAAAAAATTTTGTTGACGAACGATAGACTCGCATTTAAGGTACGAAATGCTAAACCTCAAGGAATTCTCCTAAGATGGCTATAGAGCTATATATGCATAGTAATTTGGTGGATCGATTACGGAACATCAAAGTCAATAATTACCTCTCAAGAGCTATTCATGCCTCAAGGGTCTTATCTAAGTTCCTTACTATTGATTCTATTCATTCGCGACATATCGAGTACATATAATAATGTGCCTTTATCGTCACTATCCATAAAAATATGCATCACATTTTATGCCATCGTTACCTATAACGCAAGAAACGAGATTCGGTCGAAAGCTATGGTGAAGTCTAACACAAATATTTTATAGATACCTGTTAAAGATAACAATTTTTCACTGCTTCAAGAAAATCTAAATTATATTGTATAGTTATTATACTAATGATACTATATAATGAACTATATACTGTATAGTGATATGATAAATTAAGAAATGTGACGAATAATACTATGCAATGTGATTAAATACTAACACCAATAAAAATTCTGTGCAATACTATTAAATACTGACACTAATACTAGAATTATAGGATATTATTAAATACTGATATTCATACTGTACTATACTATACTGTGCAGTACTATTATATACTAATATTAATAGCCTATTTAATGGGAATTTTAACATAATTAGTGCCAATATCACATAATACTATTAAATACTATTTCTATAAAATTCTGTTAAACATGCATTACCATTAAATACTAACATTAGTATCATACAATAATATTAAACATTAATAATTATACGAATACTATATAATACTAACAAATACCAGTACTATACTACTAAATAGTAGTATAATACTGGCTAATACTAAAGATACTAACTAATGCCGATAATTCTACTCATAAATAGAATACTTATGAATATTACATTTTCCTTGTTAGCAGAATATTATATATTTTATAATAATAAAATGCTTACATAATTAATATCTAAAAATATACTATACATATATAGTATAATACAGTGTATATTATAATATTACATAACACTATTAAATACTACTACTATGAGTTTCTATTAAATACTACCGTTTAATACTAATATTAATATCATACAATAATATTAAACATTAATAGTGATTCTAGCAAATAGTAAATATCATTATTATGCTACTAAATAGTAGATACTTATATTGTAGTATAATATTTATTAATATTACATTTTACTTGTTAGGAGAATACTACATATTATACAATAATAATATACTTACATAATTAGGATTTAACAATTACATATTATAGTATATGTATTAACAATACATATTATAGTATAGCACAATATATATTGTAATAATACATAATATTATTATTCACTATTACTATAAATTTCTGTTAAATACTATCATTAAATACTAAAATTAGTATCATACAATAATATTAAACATTAATAGCGATACTAGCAAATAGCAAATACCAGTAACTATACTGAATAGTAAATACTAATATTATAGTAGAATACTATATATTATGCCATAATAAAGTATTTACATAATTAGTATCTAATAATACATATTATAGTATAATACTGTATATATTGTAATATTCCTGTAATAATAAAAATATTTTATTATTGCGCTACATAGTATTTAATTATTATAGCGTATAAAATTGCATAATCATTATACTATACAATAACTCGTCTAACATAAAAATCGAGTCACATAGAACGACCCCAGTGACTCTCAACCCAGGTTAAGTACATCAAACAATATTTTAATTAGAAGATTTTTTTCGACGCGATTCCAACATCTGCGACATGGCATTCGCATTACTATTTCCCGCAGCTAAATCTTTAAGCTTCTTGCCCAAGGTCTTGATAGACTTAACGACCTCTTAAAGTTGAGGCTAAAGATTTTAGCCGCCCAAGGTCCTAAGCCAATTTGGTTACTCCGCCATGTCATCCTTCGTCTCTTTGCCGTGTCTCTTAAGAACTTAAGAAAACGAAGCAGAGCATGTTGCCAGTGCAAGTTTGCGGATGCAGAACGTCTAATTAAATGTATAAGCGAAACCTAGGGAAAAATGAAATCAAGACGAGTAGCTTAGAAATATAGTGATAGTAAGAACGATGCAATCGTTTTCTGGAATGATTCGCAGTACGTTTCTCCATTGTTCGACGTATTAAATCGCTCGTATCGGTTAGAAAAATAAGCTTGCATTCGAGGTCGAGATCTCCTTATAAAACGAATATATCGTATTTATATAGAATGATTCAAGGAACTGGGCCAGGTTGTGCAACTGTTTCTAGAGAGCTTTGAGGAAAATATGGAGGAATGTTTTGTAGTATTTCAGAGAATTTGTTATTTCCCGGAATGATTATTTTCGAAATTGCATTGGATACGATGTGCACAGAGTAATCGTATATTTTATTCCTCTTTTCTGCACAGATTAATTTCCCGAGTTACTCTAATAATAGAAGGTGTAAGATGGGGTCACTGAAAATTGAATGCTTAATGAAATATTTTAATTTCTCCATTTAATTACTGGGTTTTATTATTACTATATTATTACTATATATATATTATAACTATTATTAATTTGTAATATACTATATTTTATGTAATTCCTATATAAATAATATTATAGTACTATATGAATAGTAATATTATAATATAATAATATAATAATTATAATATATGGTAATTACTATATGTGTATTGTATATGCACTCATGATAATATTATATCTAAATTGAAGTACAATTTTATATTTACAAAAATATACATTTGTATCCATTACCTTCTTATTAAAAAGAGAGGTACATATTGAAAAATTGATTTCAATATAAATTAAAATGAAATTTGTGAAATCGTGTGACAATGAGATAACGTTAAATGCAAAAATTTTAATGAAAAGTTGAAAAGTGATCATTTAGGTCATAGTGGATTTAGTATCAAGTGTCAAAGCAGTATTATAAACGAATTTTACGTAATTCCTAATTAACCTTTGTTCCCATAATACAATCAATGGAGTCAAAAATTCTTTTTAACTTCCTACCTTTACACTAGAATTTCCAAAAGGGTTAAAATTAATTGTTTCAAACTCTTTATTCTTGCAGTTACCAAAAATATATAGCACTACATGTCAAAATCAATATTGATTTTTATTCAAATAGAAAATTAATTTGATACACTTATACTATAATTATCAAGTATTATCTATATATATAGATAATATATTTGGTGTTAGAGTGGAATGAAAAATATAATTTACGTTACATAAAAATGATATATGTATGTAGTGTTTTATAAAAGATAAATATTATAAAATTGAAGAAATTTGTGAATTCTAGTTTTTTAAAATTTCTTAAGATTTCATAAATATAAAATGGAGGAGAGGTGGAACTAATGGCTATCAGAGGAATAAATTAGATTTATATCGTCTCCTTTATTGCTTCTCGATGAACCTGGATTAATGCCAAAATAAACCTCGAACTAGGCCACTTTCAATCTCCTACTTTTATTATCAAACTTGAAAACGAAGAAAATATCGCTATGAAACATGGAGTATAGGAAAGAAATTTCGAAGGAAATTTCTGTCTTACGGAACAATAGTGCCTACGATTGTTACAGACCAAGTTTCCAAAAGTTTTCAAGAGGGCACAACATGTGTGGTAAAAGCTTCAATCCCCTAAAGGCCAAGTTCAAGATTTATGACGCCCAAAGAATTTAAGAAAAACAGAGTACATTTCCTTGTCACTTGTAAAAAGTTACACCATATTTTTGATTATATATAAAATATAATCTTATTAAATTTCAAAAGAAAAAATTTAGGACAATATTCATCATACAGTTAACAAGAAATAGAATAACCAAAATAAATATAATTTACTCGTAATTGAACGATATCAACTTTTCTTTGGAAAATAGCAGTTTGAAATATTCTTTTATCAAAGACCAAAGCTATTAACCCCATTTTCTTAATTTCTCAAAATTTCAAATTAATACAAAATTAATACAAATAATTCTTGATAAATATTACGCAAGGAAGTGAAATACTGTGCTAAACTTATGAGAAAACCACCACCAGTAAAACATGAAACGTGATATTGGACAATTTTTAAATAAAAATGTGACGGATTTCATTGTTTAAACTTTGGAGTATTCTCGTTTGATTCGATTTATACATTTTTTACTCACTTTTCAGTTGCTCCTGTTCTCAGATTTCTTATTTATTTTCGTTTCTTTCTGTATATGTATTTTTCACCTACTTTTCGTTGCTTCCATCCTTAAATATTTTATTTATTTTTGGCGACTTCTATCCTTGAATTTTTCATTTCCTTTCGGTGTAAATATATCAGTGCACGAAGAGTGATAAATTATAGGATGACTACCACTTTTATTCCATGGAGGATGATATAGTAAATTATTCATATGCGTAAAATTTAATCTAAAGAATAAATGCAATTATAAAACTGAAATATCGACTTATACAGACGAAAGGGACCATATGAGGAATATATTGGAGACAGGAAAGAAAATCGTACATTATTCGTGATATTTTTATAAACAGAGTAATGATTGGGGAAAACTATAATGCTATTTGTGGTAGAAGAAAATGATTCTAAAATTATTCTAAAAATTATAGTGTTTAAATATTTTAAAGGTTTACCTCGTCTGTTTACAGGCTGTTCGAAGAAAATGAGGAATTGGTGCAGATGTTCTCGCGATTTCTGGACTTGAAGTCGAAAGAGGAACGTTTCGACATGGTAGAATTGGGGAAACATGCGGAAAAAGTAATGGCTGCCCTAGACGAAAGTATCAGAGGGCTTGACAACATGGATGACTTCCTGTCCTGCCTTCACCAAGTCGGAGCCACACACACGAAGATTCCTGACTTTAATCCACAGTATTTTTGGGTAAGCTCGTAAGAGAAAAATAATTACGGTATTGCGTTAATTGCAACAAAATTTATTTATTCAATTGTACTATTTATGGCAAATTTATTCCTTCAATTTAATTATTTATTCCAAATTTATTCATACAATTTAATTAATTTTTAATTTTCTTCCAAATTTATTCATTTATGGAACACTCAATTTGAATATTTATTCGTCAAAAACATTTATTTAGTTTCGTTTTAAATAATATTGAAAAATCTTAGTGCTATTGTAAATGTTTAACGATTTAGAAGAATGAATAGTAATTAATAAAAAAATATTGCAGTAAAATGTTTCATATAATGCGAGAAATATGGAAACGGTTTTTTATCTGGTGACTTTTTCAAAGAGAAAGAGCTTTAGAGACATTTTATATTTTTAAATGAAATATTAATTTACTTTTTCATTTTCTGGCCCTTTATAATAATAATTGTGCTCTATGTGATTGGGAAATTCAAAATTAATAAATGTGAATTATAACGGTATTATATATATTCTAAATAAAAAATTATATTATGCGGTAATCGTATCTATATAAAAATATATCTGTAAAATGACTTATTTAAGAAACGAAGTGTGTCAATCTCACCCTCTCTTCAACTTCGCTCACTTGCACATTGCTTCTCTAAAAATAACGTGGATATTTTTAAACAATATTATCAGCTATTTATTCATCGGGATTTTCAATTAATTCCTATGAGATAAGCAAGAATAAAGGCAAGTTTAATTAAAATTATTTATCATAACTTTTATCATAACTTTAATTAACTAATTATTTATTTTATTTATTATTTATTTACCTTATTATTAATTGTATTATTATTTATTATTTTATTTATTTCTTAATAAATTTATTTACATTATTAAATTTCTATATATTAATAATTTATCAAATTTTCACGTAATTATAATGATTTTTAATCTATAGAAAATTTTTACAGTAGCATTCATAAAAGTGGAGTTAATATCTCAGAACTAAATTCGTAAATTTAGTTTTTAAATAAGTTTCAATAGAAAACATAAATCATATATAAATAAAATTATGTATAATAAGAATATACTTAGAAGTAAATATGTTACTAGTTTCTGACAAGATGGTGCGAAAATGTGAATTATACATTAAGATATAATTTAAGAATTTTATTAAATTCATTTTACAAATATTTTAATAAATGTGATAAGTATTGCATAAATATTAATCTGAATTACTGACGAATATTTTTCTGTAATAATTATGTAACTTAAAGCAATACATATAATATTCTTATCCAGATTTGTACAGAGAATATTGATTCTGGAATGAGCGAGATTGAACCATTTTACAATAGAATTTATAAACTTTTAAACATGCAAATTACAGCAACACTCTATTTTTGTCGAAGTTTCCGCAATTTTAACAGTATATCCACCGTGACATTAATTTTCTGCTTACCCTGAACCTTGTTATTTAATGCAAAACGAGCTTTTCCCAACAATCGTTACAGTGAACGGTGCAACTTCTCTCCAACTAGACACTCACCCAATTAACTTTGTATAAAAATTTACCTACATATGTTGTTCATATATATTACGACACAAACATTGACAATATTCACAAATATTCAAAGTAAAAATATAAAAATACAAATATAAAAGGAATAAATATAAAGAATATAAAATAATTAATTATGAAATAAAGATAATTTATTAATCCGAATACATTTGTTATATAATAAACAAAATCTGTTTAATAAATTTCTAATAATTTCTTATACCTTTATAAATTAATTTAAATACATGTTCCAAAAAAATAATACTATTTTCATTTATTATTTATAAATTACATTATAAACTACAGTTATGTATGTGTAAACTATCCAAAAATATTAACAATAATGGAGAACAGCTAAAATAAGGAAGAAATATTACAAAAGGAGATTATTCTTGCAGAAATAGTGATGAACAAGAAATGTTAATATTTAAAATAAATAATACTATTTCACTTTTAAAATAATTAACAAATTTCTCATCGATATTACCATAAAATTATGTTAACTATAAAATTTCACTCGTAAAAGTCTTGTACAAAAGTCTTTGATAAAATCGTATTAAAATATTACACAATAAATTATCTAATCTTTCACCAAAAAATTAAGAAAAATGAAAATAGCTGTATAAAAAACGCGGTTTGTAAGAAAGCAATTTATCAAACATTTTGTGTCTAAAAGGATTTTCCAAGAATTCTATCTCTTTTCCTCCTCGCTCAACGATTTTCCGTCAGCGAGTGTGTAAAAGGTCTTTGATTTCTCTTTGACGGTTTTCCCGCGTCTCAAATGTCGTCTCCATAGTTTTGTTACGCTCTAGCCTCGTAACATCCCTGTAGACGATTTCGGAGGTCGCCAGAGGGGCAAGAACACATTCCGTCGTTGCTGAAAGTAAAAGATACCTTTGTCTCGCAGAAACAAAGCCGGAAAGATGCATGGTATACATGTTTCCTGAATATTCACGCTGAACAGTGTAACATGTTGTGTGCGGTAAACCGTATTTGTACACACAACCACAACAGATTCAACAGCACGAATTTATATTGTTACCTTAATATTTCGAATAACACTAGCATAACATATTCCAAGTCGATATAATGAGGAAAATATTCAAATGCTCCCTTTTTATTATGCTTATAATAAATGACTCGTGAGAATAATGCAGTATTAAGAATATTATAAATAATCAAATTGGAGAAATTATTATTATAATATTAGTATTATAATTAATAACATTAATAATAAAAATTAAATTAAATTAAATTAAATTAATAACAAAAATCAATATTATAATATTAAAATTAAAAATTATGAAGGATTGAAACGCATTTTCAACAGAAAAATGTTATACAGCAATAATAATTATTAACAATTTTATATTCGTTAAAGAAGTAATAAAAATGATAATAATTTTAAAAATTCGTGAAATGTAAAACAAATTAACATAAATAGAAATTCTGATTTATCTTTTATTTTTTTTATTATAATATTTCGATTCAAGATAATAAGAATAAAATTGTATTAAACAAAAATTTTTAAAAATTGACTGTCTACTTATGATACAAAAATAATTGAAATATATAATTGAATATGTAGAAATGAAGGGTAAGCGGAAAAAACAGGAAATGTTTATTTTTAATAATTTTAGGTGCACATTTTCACAATGGTAGCTAAAAGTAGGAATTGTATAAAAATTTCACATTCAAGAAAAGCAAAGAGTTAGAATGAAATTAGTAGTCCTTTCTAACGTAACAAAAAATAATTTCACTTTGTCTCAAAACAACAGAAACGTAAAATTCATGGATTATACGTAGACTTACTTTATAAAACCGTATAAAAATAATTAAAATAACAATACTTATTACAAAAATGTTACGATTAGAAGTACACGTTGCAAATTCAAAAAGATCACGCATAACAGATCCCAAATACACCTCACAATCTTATTTACATTGCAATCATGTCCACCTTCTATTTCAATGCATTTCATTTGCAGAAAATTGAGCGACCGTTCTTAGAAGCCGTGAAGCGAACTTTAGAAGACCGATACTCGGAGAACGTGGAGATAACCTACAAAATGACGATCAAGTTCATCATCGAAACACTGATCGAGGGCTTCAACAAGGCTCAGAACGACAAAGCACAGAGCGGCACTGCTAAATCCTAGTCGTCTTAGCCGTGAAGGAACCAAAACAGATTTACCGATGATCGCTTTGTCTATACAGGACTAAGCCATCGAAACGGGAAACGAACGATACCAGACGAACGAACGAATCAATCGATCCACCATAATCGTTTGTTTATTCCACGGTATCCTCGACTCAAGCCGGGTTAACCGGTCTACGATGTGATCGCCATCTATCGAACATTCGACGAAGCATGGGATAAATCACGCGACGTCGAGCAGCGTTCTTTTTTACCGTGGCACGAACAGTGCCCCATGGTTGGTTAGGTTCGAAATCTCTTTCCTTCGAGCGGGTCTCGGTCATGGGAAGTAATTCGCAAGAAATAATAGCCGTGGTTATAGTGTCGCACTCACCATCGTCTCATATCACGACGAGCGGCGAAACGAACCGTGGACTCTCTTGACGGCCAAAGAAAACTGGTAATGCGTTCTCATTTAACATTTATCAACTTCCAGTTCACGGAAAAAGCTTCTTTGTGTGATTATTTCTATCGTCGAACACGATCCCATCGTTCCTTCGGGATAATTCATATACCTTGAACACCGGCGGCAGCATCGAGAGGTGATGAAAAGGAGCAAAGTTAACAGAAATAGCGTTACACTTGCCATTCGCTTCAGCGCACTATCGATTATGGAATTTGAACGATGTAAATATGGTACACGCGTATCGCGGATTATCGCAAACAACTGCCAGGGATTATTTGCATTGCAGAGCTTGGGCGAAATGCCGCAGGGTGGCGTTGTCGAAAACTTGGAAATATGTTTAATGGCAACTTGTTGAAATTGCAAATTACTGTAATTAAAATTCGACGGGTTTTCGCTTAATTTGTTTATTTTTCTTTGCTTTTGTGTGCAGTGCGAATGATTTATAAATGAAAATAATTATCCTTGGGGTTTTAAGTGACTCTGGGATTTTATCACGTATTAATTTTGAATTAAATATCGAAATACTTAATGGAGTAATAAATTTTTAAAATTAATATTCTTTTTCAAATTGTACAAAGATATTACTAGAAGAATTTAAGAATGGAATTATTGGAACTGAATGATAGAAAATGTTATACGTCTTGTGTCAGATTGAATATATCGAGAGATAATTATTAACAACAAATTGTATTGAAACTTGATATGAACTTTACAAAGAGGAAATATTAAATTTCCATTGCAGAAATGTTGTATGGAAATTAATATAAATATAATATGAATAATATAACATTCAAGAGATTATAATAAAATTTAATCGAATTTTACAATTTAAATATAAATTTAAGTTAAACGATAAATTAATGTTCAATTTAAATTTAATAATTTTCATAAAGGACAATTCTATACGAAGAATATCTCTCTCCTAAAAATCTTTTTTTAATATTTTGTACCATTTATTTATTTATTTGTTAATTTACTTAGTTACTTACTTAGTTACTTACTTGTTTATTTACTTATTTATTTATTTACTCGCTCGTTTATTTATTTATTAACTTATTTACTTATTTATTTATGTCTTCCTTCCAAGGCTATTTCTCTATTAAAAGGGGGTCATAAAAATTATTCGGGAACATATCACGATTTTTATCGAGAAACTTTATGACAGTCTATATTTGAATGATTTACGAGACACTTTATTTACGTAGAAAAATCGTTACTTACTGTGGCCACGTTGAATGCACCACTACCCTGGAATTAAAGTGCAAACAGGTATATATTCGCATGCAGCAAACTCAAATGCATCTGAAGCGATTTCACATACACTTCTGGCTCTCAATACACGATCGATAATTGATACCAGAATAATGGTTACCTTGAACCAATCGAAGTAGACTATTGCTTTTATTCATGACAACCTTGGATTACATAAGTTACTTAGGACATCTTTCTGTCAGAGAAAAAACAGAAAGTATTTTTCATTAAATGCAACAGTTATCGTTATTGTTATCATTATAATGTTACCATTATAATATTAGAGTAAGTGAAAATTTGGAATTTCAAAATCACGTTAATTTTATTATTCGAAAAATTTTGGTTTAACTTGCTTTTTCCTTTATTAATTTATTTTAATCCACGATTCGACTAGGTGCGTTTACACAAGAGAAATTCGCAGGAATGTGAAATTTAATCAATTGCTACTTGTTATGAATCATTCGTGTCATTTTATACGGGAAAATGAAGAAATTAATGGTAGTAAAGTAAGTACAGTAAAACCTCCAGTATTTGAATTAATAGGGAATAAGGAGACATGATCATTCGAATAATATAATATTCGAATCGTGTTTGTTTATAATAATCTGATTGTATTTGACAAGAATAATAATAAGGAAATAGCTTATTTATGAATCCCGTATACTGTCTATGTTAAATTATACTGATTTCTTAATATATCGATCAAAAAAATTCTGCTATTTGTGTTTTAGATCATCTAAATGCCATTTTTCTATCATAGACACTTGATACGTGAAAATATCTTCAACATTGTGAACTATTGCGATTTCACTGACACATTTACCGTTTTCTAACCTCTAAAGTAATTCATGTTCCGTTTCAACTGTCAGTACCATGCGTTTCCTCTTTGACGCCATTAATTAAAGCGAAAGGTATATCGACGTATAATACCTGTTTCATACTATAGTAATGAAGAATACATACTGTTCGAATCGAAGAATATTTAAGTAACGGAATATTCGAACAGTGAAACATTTGGATACTAACATATTCAAATGATAAGACATTCGAATATTGGAATATTCGAATGGTAAAATATTTAAATAATGTAATATTTGAATGACGATTCGTGTGAATAGTGGAATATACGAATCTTAAAATGTTTGAATGGTAAAATATTGGAATGATAAGACATTTGAGTACCAGAATATTCGAATGGTAAAACAATTGAATAGCAGAATATTCAAATGATAAGACATTCGTATAGCAAAATATTCGAATGGTAAAATATTTGAATAGTGGAATATTTGAATTGTAAAACAATTAAATAGTGGAGTATTCAAATGGTAAAACATTTGAATCGTGGAATGTTCGAATAGTAAAATATTTAAGCGAATAAAAACATTTGAATACTATAATATTCAAATGGTAAGACGTTCGAATAACGGAATATTTAAATTGTAGAACGTTCGAATAGAAAAGTATTCGAATAGTAGAACACTTGGATGATGGAATATTGAAATGGTAAAACAATGGAACATCGGAATATTCGAATGAAGAAAGATTTGAATAGTCGAATATTGAAATGGTGAAATCTTCGAGTAGCGGAATACTTAAATGGTCAAATGTTCGAATAGTGTAATATTCGAATGGTGAAACATCCGAATAGTAGGTATTCGGATAATGGAGGTTCTACTGCATCTCCGCGTTCCCAAATGTTGAAAAACTGCAAAACGCTTTGGCATTTGTTGTTGAATGTGCCGTACTTGACCCACGAGGTGCAAACATTTTTCGCACGGAAATTGCGATTCGTGCTTCGCTGTATCTGCCACGGCCATGCAGCTGTCGTTAATTCGTGTGTCACGGAGCGTTTCAAAGTCGCCTCGTTACAAGGGAGCAATATTGGAAAGTGCTACAACGGGTAACAAAGAAATCGATAACCTGTATTCTCTCAAAGTACAGAATCCATTAGGCCGCTTATAAGCGTGACAAGATGCAATGGCACGTGTGCGAAAAAGATTATTAATAAGTGGTACAATTGGAACTCGATAGTTAGCTTTCACAAACTCGATGTTAGATTCGATAAACGAGGTAAAAGGAGATCAATTGAATAGATTCTTATTGGATACATCGCTATTGGAAATGGACCAACTGTTTTGAGGTTAGATATACTATATATGGAAACTATAGCTATAGTCGCTCATGAAAGTATTTGGATAGTCTGCAATCCAAAATGTCGGAAAATAAAATAAGTTCTTTAGACTAGAATCTTTAGAATAGTATCAGAATTGTAGCAAGATGCATATCTTAAATTTGAATATTTTTGTGAGCTATTTAAATGATATATTCGTATGCTATAAATGTATGATAACCTAACCTATAAATTTTAATCGTCACCGATATGTCGAATCTGTTTACAATCTTACTCTTATATTCTACGTCACTCTTTACTGAAGTTACAAAATTATTTTCAACTTTACAGTCTGAAGTGCGTATTTCATTAATAATTTGGATCACGAGTGTTCGCATACTTCCATGAGCAACTGTACATGTGTCGATTGTGTTGGAACTCTCATTGTCTGAAACTCGGTATGCAAAGAATAAGTAAATCGACGTACAATTCATGTGGTGTCATAGTTACGATTGTTTAGAGCATCTATTTTCGAGAATTAATCGGGACAGGTTACTGTATGTTGAAAACTCGTGTACGCATTACTTAGTGAAATAATATTATAATAAAATCCCATGACCATGTTATACTTATTCTCCTATCATACATTGCGATCTAAACAACTCGAATTTTCAGTAGCTTTTCTGTAAAGTTACGCATCATTTTTATATCGATTAATATAACGTTGAATCACACTGAAATAAAGTGTCGAAAAAGATATTGAAGGTACGTATGAAAACATGAAAACATTTCACGTTATTTATTTCAGACATCGATCTATAAATATTACGAAATTATCTATAGTGATCGAACAAAATTAGAAATGAATTCTCTTTCAAAAATAAAAATTAATTTTGTTCATTTACGTGCACCCCAAAATGCAAATTTGATTAATTATAAATAAAAACCGATTTTCGAGTTTAATAAATAAAAATTAGGGGTACGTGAGTAAAATTTCAAAAATAAAATACGATGAAAAATATTAAAGATACATTAGTCTGGATTATACCATACAGAAATTTGAAGTGACGCTACATAAAACAACTTCAAACAAAGGATCGCGATACAACGCGTTGATGAAGCAAAAGAATTTGAAACAAAGCTCGATTTTAATAAATTAAAAGGTATTCACCAATACGAACAATTATTTCCGACGAATCCTCGATTACTTTACTCTCAGTGCTGTGCGAATCATATTTATCTCCAAGGGAGTAATTAAATCCCAAAGGCACATTTGTCACGAAACAACAATAACCTGAAAATTTGATAACCGACCGAACAAAATAAATATCGTTGGATCTCGTGAAAATTCTTTACCACGATATTCCACGTGCGTGTAAAACGGATCACTTGCATATAAACAATAAAAATAGGAGACAAAAGATAAAAAAACACGTTTGCACGCTCATCGACATATTTCCACCATAGCGACATGATTTTTATAGTCATGGAACAAAAGGAGAAAGAAATAGCATCATGGGCGTGTATATTCCTTTGACCGTCAAAAGATAACTATAGATTTTTACTCGCGATTAAGAATGAAAAGTACGCGAACACTAGGCTGTATCCCTTTGCGCAATGTCAATTTCCTAGGCGGTCCTTGAGACACAGGGCCCCTTTATTTCTGTATCTTCCTCGCCGTATATATCTATCTCTGATTTCTCTCTGAGGTCAATTTATTTGTGTCGCTCGTTGTCGAGGATATCAAGTCACGCGGTTCTCTAAGAGAATAATAAGTTTCGTTCGCAGACGATTAACAGATGACTCCACTTGTCAACGTCTAGGCGGCATGCGTTCGGAGGATGGAAGGTCCTCGTTCGCTGCGTTCAGTTCCGATCGTACGTACCAACCGTTCATTGC